ATTTATTAGCAAATTTAATTTTAACTTCATTAATGAGTAAATCACCTGATCTGTGTCATGAAAACAACCATCCTTTGACAGTAGCCTGAACATTCAGTATGCATCCCTTCCATACCTTTTCAACACAATTGACTCAACCCGCAACACGGAACGTAAAATTAGACAGTTTTACACAACCAAAATATGTATGTGTCTGCATGTGTGTATGGTGCAATTACTAAACAACACAAAGATTAAAACCTCTTCATTTTGAGCCCGTTCAATAATTTTCTTCAAATCTGAAAAGGGAAGAGTTCTGAATTACAAACCACTAAAGGAATTATAAACCAGGACATTGAAAGGGTTCTTCAACATTAGCAAATAAGAAAATAAAATGATAGATGTTTTATATCAAAAGTAGTCCTCCATGAGGAAAATATCAACTTTACCAATACTATATGCATCATCTACAATCATCCTCTGTGAACAGCCCAACTGGCTAAGGGAAGCACTGATACGATCTATAGTCATCGTTCGTCCTGTATTAGTCTTCACCTCTGCGATAATTGTATCCAGTGACAGGGGAACTGAAACATAGGATAACAGCATAAATCAATACAAAACCATGAGATAACAGTGGTCCCATGGACGTCTTTCTTTTCTCTATATGGTGAAACAAAAATCCGTTATAACAAGAAAGTTACAAAAGTGAAGGGAGGCATGGAATCCTTCTTAACAAAAGAATAAAACAGAGAACAAGGGAGAGAGAATCAACGAAACAAGCTACATCATCCAACATATCTACTAGGGAAACCCCTTTAAAGAGGTCGTATGCCTCCATCTATCTACAACAAAACAATTACAAAGGAGAAGGAAGGATAGGGAATCCTTAATAAAAGAAAAAAATAGAGGACTAGAGGGAGGCAGCAAACGGAACAAGATGCACCATACAACAAAACTACTTAAGAAACTGTTAGGTTATAGGGTATTTGGATATAATGGGAAACGGGATTAGGATAGAAGGCAGAGGAATTGTATAAATAGATTGATTGATAGTTAGAAGGCAGTTTTTGAGTACATTGATTGTAGACAAGTTATGACCTGTGAAGAGGGTTAAGCCTGAATTCTTTCTGTACAGACACTCTTAAGCCTCTGAATTCTTTATGTACAGACACTCTTATTAATATTCAGCTTTCTCTCTTTCTTATGTCTTCTTGATGAGTGAGAGAGTCTTTGATTAGTTTCCCAATTCAGGAACCTACCAGAAACCCCTATAAAGAGGCTAGGCCATATGCCTCTATCCATCAGTTCATCCATCCATCTATATATGGCCTCATTACTTACACCAAAATCCTAGGAATTTCTTGTAGAATTAGCTATTCTATCTTTTTTTTTAGAAAGAACTGAAATTATGTTTCAAATAAAGAACTATATCGTAGTTGCTAAAGTCTATATATCGCTTATAGACTTAAGGACAGCTTGACATAACTATCGAGGCGGCGTTTGGACCTAAAAGATCGAATGCAATAATACATAGACAAATAAATCTCTTATGAATTTGGAAATACTCCGTTATTGAATATTGAATTTTCGTTTTCATGAATTAATAAATTCAAGGAGATTCCGCATTTGAGAGACAGGTCACACTCAACAGCAACCTTGTCACACTGGCTCAACTACATAGATTGGGTTCAGTTAAAAACTTAAATTATCAAGTATATTTCACCACGTGATCCCTTTTAATAATTTCCTCAAAGATCTTGTGTTTTCCCTCTATTCTTTCTCAATAGTGAAAAAAAAAACCCAATCATAAAGCAAGGAATTTGGTTCACCTGAATTCTCCATTTTCACTTTTTTCTCTACAGTTTTTGTTGCCTCCAATACTGCACTTAAGACAGTAGCAGTTCCATCATCATGCTGAGTTCTTATATTCTCAATCAATGCCTACAATATGCATAGAATATTTAATTGCAAGCTTCTGACAACAATATGCAGACAAAAGAATAAAAAAATTATCTCAATCAATTCAACACAATAGCTTATAAATATGATATCCATGAAACCTTTACAATCGTTAATTAGAACAATTAAAAAGAAAACAAAGAGCACATAAACAATATAACAAAACCTCTGTTGTCACATTTCTCACAAAGGCAACAGTAAATATAGTAGCATCAACAAGGAAAAATAAGTAAATGTCAAACTGCTTTACAGGAAACAATACATAATGGTTCATTCATGTAAATATAGCCCCCACCCAAAACAATGAGTTTCTTCCTTTATCTGATTCCATAAATTTATAAGTAAAAAAGGTAACGTGATACAGATTGATGCTAACTTATGGCAAAGATGACCATTGAACATAGCTTCAAAAATATTGTCAACTTAAATTTAACCAAGCCAAATGTTAAAGAGCAGTGTCAATCAACAAGCAATCTGTGTGATTTCATGCTTTGTTTATCCAGATTGACATTTATTATTACTAGTTTTCATTTGACTAATTTTAAACAGAATTTTTGCTCTTTGAAAGACAAGGGAATTTCAAATTTAACTTTCATCACTTATATACTCTAGAAAATAGCTTTTCAGAAAATAAAATATCTGTTATTCTTATTCAAAACGTTTGACTATCACTAACCATCTAGTATGCTTTTATAACTCCAAAGCTCAATATCCTTTCACAGTAAGTTAAATAAAAGATATGTACAAAAAAGGTCAAAATTCAAGGAAAAAAGGTAGACTGGGTAGTGATAGCACCATGTTAGATAAGAAATATATTGTAATATCTACCTTATGTCTAAGATGACGAATAAACTCCTCAAAATTGGCACGCCAAAGAATTTCCTCCTCTTTTTCTGCACCAAACTTTGTATGACTTAAAAAAATTATACTTGTATGAAAAATTTTGTTAACTAAAAACTACTAAGTTGATCTGACCACAAAAGATGACAATAGTCCTACCATCATTCTGTTGAACGCTAACAATTTCATTATCATCTGAATTTGTTTCTTTGTCAACATTAGATTTCATATCCGCAGCGAATGAAAATCTGATTGCATCCCCAGGCACTGCTGCTTCTACAACACGTTGCTCTAATGTCTCGGGTGCTTCAAATATCTGAAAGGCATACATTACAAAGTTTAAAGTGATTTTAGAAAACTCTATTATCCAGCTTCCAAGAGTGAACACATTGCTGTGCAACTTCAATAAAATGGTAACAAAGAATATTTGTGAATTTTCAACTTAGTAGCACTTATTTGACTAAGCATCTTAAACAACAAGCAATAAATGAAGGATCATCGGGCATACAAAAAACAACAATTAATTGGTAAATTGATCTCACTATATGTTAGAGATCTTATATCGACTAGGATATAGCTAAATCAAAGGGAAAAAAGCTTCACTATTCCTCAACAAAGCTGTTAGTGGAACCCCATTAGAAATCTCACCTGCTCACACCCAATAGACAGAAAATGCCTATCACCCCAAACCATTAACCAAAGATCACCCAACTTTCTAAAGAAATTGACCTGAGTGAGCAGTCATTTACCTTGGCAGACTTAGCACCCCGCTTCCTAGTAGTAGTTTCTTTAAATGAGATAGAAACAACTGGCTCAGGGACAGGGCAGCTTTTGACAAGTCTAGCTGTTAAAAGCTTACTCAGTATCTCTCGTACAACTTTTGTATCCAAGGAATTTTCTGCAAGTATATCATTTAAAATAAAATAATTTGAAAGGATTCGTGATTTTGCGAGATCCAGATGAGCTCAACCATGTTTTAAATACAGTAATTTCTGTTGTAAAATATTATTATAATATTGCAAAAGAAACTTTTGCAACGTTCCTTCGCAACGATCATTTCCAACGTTCTTTTTGGCAATGTTCCTATAGCAATGTTCAGTGCAACGGTTTGGTTTTTGCCACCTATAAATGGACCCTTTGCTCATTTTCAGGTTTACGAAAAATCATCATCATAAAATTCTCTTCTCTCATTCTCTCATTCTCTCATTTTCTTTCCTAAAACTATCCTGGGTATATACTCGTATAGAGTTTCTTGCTAGTTCTGTGATTCTCGAATATTTTCGAGAAGTTCCTGTTGTATACTGGGGAACTTGCATAATACACCGCGGATAAGTCCTTAAGGACAGTGAATCTACAAGCCTCAGGAAATTGCGGTTCGAGTTTTGTCAGCACATTTTACTACAATCTTAAGGACTTATGGCTAACATCAACAACCAGATTCTGGAAAGTCAGAACATTGTTTCTGGAACTCAGACGGTCTTTGCAAAACCACTTCCGGACGTGTCAAAAGTCGAAATCTTCTCAGGACAGAAATTCCAAAGCTGGCAAGAACGTGTGTCCACCCTTCTTGACATGTATGGAGTTGCAACTGCTCTTTCATCTCCGAAACCGGACTCCAGTCTTCCTTCAAACTCAAAACTAGTTGAAGAATGGATTTACGCGAACAAGGTATGCCGACACACTTTGCTTAGTGCACTCTCTAATGATTTGTTTGATGTATATTGTTCCTACAAGGAAGCAAAAGATATTTGGGACTCGTTGATTCTCAAATATACTGCCGAAGATGTCATCAGACAAAGGTTCGTGATAGGAAACTACTACCGCTGGGAGATGATTGAAGACAAGGACATGAAGTCGCAAATCAATGAGTACCACAAGCTGCTCGAAGATATCAAAGCTGAGAACATCCTTCTACCGGATGAATTTGTTTCAGAACTTCTAATCGAGAAATTGTCACCTTCCTGGACTGATTACAAGCAACAACTGAAACACAGACACAAGCAGATGTCACTCTCAGAGCTCATCAATCACATAATTGTTGAAGATACCAACAGGAAAGAATGTGCTGTTGCAAGAGCCAAAACCTTGTCTGCAAGAGCAAATGTGGTAGAAGACAGACCTGCTTTGAAAAGGTACGAACACAAACCTGATCAGAATAAGAAAAACTATTTCCAAAAATCTCGTCCCAATGGATCTAACCCTACCTTTAAGAAGAAAGGAAATTGCTTTGTATGTGGAAAGTCGGGACATCATGCACCTCAGTGCAGGCGAAGAGCAAGAAACGACAATCCTCCTATAGCTAATATAGCCAAAGGAGATGACATTATTGTTGCGGTCGTTTCACAAGCAAATTTGATGACCAATGTGAGCAAGTGGGTGGTAGACTTTGGGGCTACCAGGCATATCTGTGCAAACAGAAGTGCCTTTACCTCTTACATCAGTGTAAGAGAAGGAGAAGAACATGTGTATCTCGGTGATTCTAGGACAACTCCTGTCCTAGAAAAAGGAAAGGTTCTTAAACTCACATCTGGGAAGACTCTGGCCTTAAATGATGTCCTACATGTGCCTTCTATCAGAGTTAATTTAATCTCGGTATCAATACTGGGAAAAGCTGGGGTTAAAGTGTCATTTGAGTCTGACAAGATCATTATGACAAAGAATAATGTTTTTATGGGGAAGGGATATTGTGATCAAGGTCTCTTTGTACTTAACATTTCTGAAATTATTAATGAATCAAGTTCTTCTACTTATATTGTTGACTCGTATGATATATGGCATGCTAGATTAGGACATGTGAATTCTTTGTATGTTTTAAAATTACAACGATTAGGATTAATTAATATGTATGATAAACAGAGTAGTAAATGTAATATATGTGTAAAATCTAAAATGACTAGGAAAACATGTTATACCGTAGAATGTGAAACTGAACTCTTAAGGTTAATTCATACTGATCTAGCTGATTTAAAACAAACCATGTCTAGAGGAGGTAAAAATTATTTTGTGACCTTTATAGACGATTACTCTAGATACACTAAGGTGTACTTAATCAAACATAAAGATGAAGCCTTTGATGTGTTCTTAACTTATAAAGCAAAAGTAGAAAACCAATTAAATAAGAAAATTAAGAAGATTAGATCAGATAGAGGTGGAGAGTATGTACTGTTTAATGAATTTTGTGTTAAAGAAGGAATTATCCATGAAGTAACCCCACCATATTCACCTGAGTCTAATGGAGTAGCTCAGAGAAAGAATATAACTCTTAAGGAAATGATGAATGCCATGCTTATTAGTTCTAGGGCACCTGATAACCTTTGGGGAGAAGCCTTACTTACTGCGTGTTTTTTACAAAATAGAACACCTCATAAGAAAACTGGTAAAACTCCCTATGAGCTGTGGAGAGGATATCAACCTAACCTTAAATATCTAAAAGTGTGGGGGTGTCTAGCTAAGGTGATGTTACCCGATCCTAAGAAAAGGAAAATAGGTTCTAAAACCTCTGATTGTATGATCTTAGGCTATGCCGAACACAGTGCTGCTTATAGATTTCTAGTTCTTAAAAGTGATCTGATTGAGCGTAACACTATAATGGAGACAAAAAATGCTGAGTTTTTTTAACATGTTTTTTCCTTTAAAGGTTAGTGAAACATCTCAACCTGTAGATAATAATAATAGTGATGCCTTGTGTGAGGAATTAAGAAGAAGTAAAAGACAGAGGAAAAAAACTTCATTTGGTAATGATTTCTATACCTATCTAGTTGATAATGATCCTAGTAGCTTTGTAGAAGCCATTAATGCTCCTGATGCAAAATAGTGGGATAAGGCCATTAAGACTGAAATTGAATCAATTCAGAAAAATAATATTTGGACTTTAGTAGATCTGCCTAAAGGAGCAAAACACATTGGTTGTAAGTGGATCTTTAAGAAAAGGTATCATCCTGATGGATCCGTAGAGAAGTATAAGGCAAGATTAGTAGCTAAAGGTTTTACTCAAAAACCCAACATAGATTATTTTGATACCTTTGCCCCTGTGACTAGGATTTCCTCCATTCGAGTGTTGTTAGCTCTAGCAGCTATCCATAAACTAGTGATACACCAGATGGATGTCAAAACAGCCTTTTTAAATGGTGATTTAGAGGAGGAAATTTATATGACTCAACCTAAGGGGTGTGTTGTACCAGGTCAAGAGAATAAAGTTTGTAAACTTTTAAAATCTTTGTATGGTGATGAAAAACTTAATAATGTTTTGCTTTGTGATGGTTTTTCACCTAATGATGCAGATAAATGTGTGTACTCTAAATCTGAAAATGGTGATTGTGTCATTATATGTTTGTATGTGGATGACATGTTAATTTTTGGTACATGCAATGAAATTGTTGCTAGAACTAAATTGTTTCTAGGATCAAAAATTGAAATGAAAGACATGGGTGAAGCCAATGTGATTTTAGGTATTAGAAACATAAGGAAGGGAGATAATATATTACTATCCCAAGAACAATACATTGGGAAACTTCTTAAGAAGTTTGGGTATTATGACTTTAAACTAGTGAGTACCCCTTATGATGGTAATTCTAAATTAATGAAAAATAAAGGAAAATCTATATCTCAACCTCAGTATGCCAGATAATTGGGAGCTTACTGCACTTAAGAGGTAGACTGAGTAGGTACACTCAATGTCCAAATCAAGAACATTGGGATGTGCTTGCTAGGCTTATGAGATACTTAAGAGGATCAATGGATTATGCCATTGAATACAGTGGATTTCCCGTTGTACTAGAAGGGTACAATGATGCTAACTGGATCTCTGATTCAAATGAGACAAAACTCACTAGTGGTTATGTATTCACACTCGGGGGTGGTGCGATTACATGGAGATTAGCCAGACAAACAATTATTGCAAGATCAACAATGGAATCTGAGTTTGTTGCTCTTGAGATTGTTGGTAATGAGGCTGAGTAGTTGAAAAACTTCTTAGCGAACATTCCACTACCAACCCCATTAGTATCAATATACTGTGATTGCCAATCGGCAATAGCTATAGCTAAAAATCAGAGTTACAATGGAAAGAATAGACATATACAATTGAGACACAATTTGGTGAAGCAGCTACTAAAGAGTGGAACTATTTCCATTGATTATGTGAAGTCAGAACGGAATCTAGCGGATCCTCTAACAAAACCCCTGGGAAGACAAATGTATTAGAAACATCGAGGGGAATGGGACTTAAGCCACTTGAAACAAACAAGTGATGGTAACCCAACCTTTGTGATTGGAGATCCCATGAATAAGGTTCATATGGGTAAAAACAAGTCACTTGTTAGTTCTGATAACACTAAATTGATTTTAATCATGTCCATTCCTATGGTGTATGTGAAAGTGTTAGAGACTGCATTATGAGAGGTTAAACTTTGTCATTAAAATTCTTTATGGTGAAAGAATTTTAGCTTAAACAAAGTTTTAATGATTTTCATATCCCTTATGGGGTGGTGTATGATTTGCAGCATACACTTGATGAAATCACCTATATGAGTGTCGAGTGGGGCCGCTTGTATGAGATCTTGGCATGATCTCTAGAACACTCATGAATACCGGGAATGCGCACGGCCTAATTAGCGCAACACAGCGATAACAGCAAGAATTGTGGGGGTGTATTGTGATTGATAAACCTCTAACACACGTCAAGTGTCTTTGGCTCATATAGCTTGCTATACCAATTACATTGTGTGTTAAGTTTCTCGATCTAAGACTGGTTCATATAGCTTACTATACCAGCTCTGATGCATTACATCTTATAAGACCCAGGATATAAATACTCTTATCTTACTTTCAATCTCTGATTATCCATCAGAACAAAGATTTGCGCTATTGCTTTATATATAATCATTTTCCAAGTTTACACAAAGATGACATAACTTTCTTTTGAAAAAGGATTACCTGCAAAATGAGAAATCACTTTTGAGACAGAACTGTTTGGATCAAAGACATTTTCTTTTAACTTTCTTTTGCAATATGTGGGGGATTGTTGTAAAATATTATTATAATATTGCAAAAGAAACTTTTGCAACGTTCCTTCGCAACGATCATTTCCAATGTCCTTTTTGGCAATGTTCCTATAGCAACATTCAGTGCAAGGGTTGGTTTTTGCCACTTATAAATGGACCCTTTGCTCATTTCCAGGTTTATGAAAAATCATCATCATAAAATTCTTGTCTCTCATTCTCTCATTTTCTTTCCTAAAACTATCCTGGGTATGTACTCGTATAGAGTTTCTTGCTAGTTTTGTGATCCTCGAATATTTTCGAGAAGTTCCTGTTGTATACTGGGAGACTTGGGCAATACATCGTGGATAAGTCCTTAAGGACAGTGAATCTACACGCCTCAGGAAATTGCAGTTCGATTTTTGTCAGCACATTTTACTACAATTTCAACATATTATTCAGAGTCAATTATGTGTTTGATTAAAATGAATATCCTGCTCAATTATAGGCCTAATAATATATCACTCTTTAACATAATTTAGAAAGACACGTATAGTTCTTTGTGTATCATTACCTCTAACTTTAACCCAATTAAGCCTTCTCTTCATGTACAACAAATTTAGTAAGTTGTGTAAAATGTACCACACTTATAACCCAACCCAAATCAGACCACAATGCTAGTACATGTACCTTGATCCACTCCAAACATACCTTTTGTTTTCATAGTTTTAAAAATTATCTGCAGTGCCCTCATCTGATTCACAAAAAGGAATTATGACTAAACCACATATGATTCAGTCGTTAGGTTACACAAATTTTAAAAGAAAACATGTGCGGATTTGTTTAAAAAAATACCTTTTGTTATAATTAAATCAACAAATATAAGCAAAACAGCACTCGACCTATCAAGTGCATCATAAAACACTTGCCTTTCCCTTGACTTGCTCTGTCAACCATTTGTTTCAGGGTAAGCCTACCATCACGAAGCAAACCATCAAGAAGTTCCACACACTGCAAAACAAGTGGAAAATACTGAGCATTCTAACTCATAAAAGGAAAAGCATCAAAGAAACCAATAAGGATCAAACCGACTTCTTCATCAAGCTTCCGAGACACAGTCTCCAAGAATTTGGAAAATCTCAATCGGTGGATTATGTTATCAAACAACACCAATTACTGAGTCCTAACTCTCAATCTGTCTACATCATCATCTGCATTCATAATAATTCAGAACATTATAATTAGCCAATCACGCCCTAATGGAGAAGTATTCGTTGCAAACATTACCACTACATCTAGGAAGTCCGTTTTATAAAAATTATTTTACTCCAACATGTTTATTGCAAGTAGACAACGATAATTAAAAAGAAAAAGAAAAGCAAAAAAAGAATACAAGAAAGGAATTAAACAAAAAAATAGTGCTATGATACCGTCATCTTTAGGAGCAGAAACAAATGCTTGGCAACAATTGTGTTGAACTAAGACGAGTAGGGAGTTCTTAACTTGGTCCTTAGTAAGCTCCGAGTAGCGAACCAATTGATCCAAAGTGAGGGCTCCATGACTAAATAGATTTTCGCATACTTTCTGCACACACAGAACTTTCAATATCAGTGACGATGCAAAATAAATCAGAGAGACGCGAAAGTGAGAGAATTACAGCGACAAGATTGCCGAAGTGCTTGGTGATGAGGTGGACGGCCAATTTGATGCCGAACTGTGAAACCATTTTCTTGAGAGAGAAAACGGCGAAGAACCGAGAAATTTGAGAATAATACGGAAGAGAAAGGCGCGGGAAGAAAGGGGTTCAGGGAATTTTAGAGTTCACTGGAAAATGTTTTTTTAAGAACTTTTTGTTGACAACATTTTTTAACGGCTTACTAGGCAGCAGACAGACCAATACAATGATACACTGTTTATTGTCAAAAAATTATTAAAAGAAATTATTAACATATCAGGATCTTTCTGCAAATGCATCAATTATTTTCGGTGTATGACAATACCGTGGAAGTACCTACCAAATGTAAAAACATCATAAAACTCAACAAAGTCCAACATATATTTGTTTAAAAGTTGAAACTTAAAAGCAAGATGATGTCTACTGACTTTGGGACATCAACATTAGCCATGTGCTTTCAATTGATTGAGTTATTTTCGATCATATTATGCTTTTTAGTCAATCTTGTAATATTCTTTAAATATTATGTATTCTTTTTATATCATTGTAGTTGACAATGTATTTTATTTTAAATCATTAATAAAATTAGTTTTGATTAATTTTTGTATGCTTTACAATTTTATACATTTGATTTATTTTTGTTATAGAAAAAAAAAAATCATTAAATTAATAAATTATTAATATAGGTGGATTATTATAAATAAAAGAGGTTTCAAGCATTCACAAAATAATAGTCACTAATAAAATATATTAAAATCTGTAAAAAATATCTTTCACACTATAAATCTGATACTAAGAGTCATCCAAAATCTTCGAAAATCGATTGCTGCAAGTAGAAGTTTGAAAAATCCTCCGATTAGAAAAACAAGAGATAATAATTTTAAAGTGGAAGTGTACTCTCGAGTTGTAAATATTTCTTACCATAAATCCTAACTTAACTTTGATTAGGATTTTGGTGATAAAAGGAGATAAATCAATTGAATTAGAAGTTAAATATTTGACATCAAATAAAAAATAGTTTAATTAAATAAAAATTATCAATATTTTTTAATAAAAGTAAGAATAGGTCATCCTATTTTAGAAAGAAGAAAAACCAACCAAAGTAATTAGTGTCGTCAAAATGGGTTGAAACCCGTGAGTCAACCCGGCTCACCAAGGGTTTGAGCCGGGTTGGGTTGGAAAAAAATGCAAAAATTTTGATGCGAGCCAATTTTGACCCGGCTCACTAAGAACACGGCTCACACGGGTTGAACCTGTGGTGGGTCGAGTTGGCTCACCAACCCACCTATTTTATTAATTAAATTAATTATTCAAATCCTATTTTTTTTATTGAAATCAAATTAATTATTCAAAATGCACAACCTTTACTTAGCAATATAGCCTGTCTTTCCAAAAGTTCTCCTCTGCAAATAAAACCCTAAGATTATAGATTGGATAAACTTATAGATGGAGATAAAGAAGAAGATGCTTCAAGAGAGCATAATATTTGTGGATTTATCCATTCGGGACTCCAATTTAATAGATGGATAATATTATAGATTGGATAATTCAGGAATATATCATTTGTTTTATCTTGTTTTTAGACATATCTAAAAGCATAACAATTTTATCTTATAAAATATATTTTTGTTAACGGCTATATGTAGTTTCTTGGTCAAACAGTTGTGTATATCTCAGTAAATTAAATTGGCAAAATTTTATGCTTGATAGCTTAGAATATATATAACAATATATTTCTTTTGTTTCATTTTTTTTTATATCAATTGGTCCAATTATTACTGTTTCAATTTGATCGATCAAAGTAACATGTTATAAAAATATAAAAAGAAGAGAGTGAAAAAAAAGTTAATTAAGTGAGCCAATGAGCCAACCCGTTTAACCCACCAACCCGTGGTTGGTCGGGTCGGGTTCGAATTTTTTTGGCTCGCTAATAAATGAGCCGGGTTAGGTTGACTCACTAAGTGGCCAACCCGTAGTGGGTCAGGCCGGTTACCCGTTTTGACAGCTCTAAAAGTAATGAAATTTAAAAACAAAGACCTAAGTCTTTAAAATTTGAAGAAAGAGGGCTTTTGTTGAAGAAATTACTCATATATTAAACTAGATACTATTATTTACTTTTAGCAAGAGAAATCTCACATACAGTTCACTAAATTAAAATTTAGAATGCTCATAAAGACGATTAGACATGTTTGTTTGGAAATAACTTTGTTGGGCCAATAAGTTCATTTGGTCGATAAAAGTTAAAAGATATTATTAATTTTCTGTTTTGTCATTATTTCTCCTTAGAGCATCATCTTGTTGTGTTTTAGGATTTTCTGTTTAGTGTTTTTATTTTTCTGTTAGGGATAATTAATTATCCCGGTGTCCTTTTGTACTCACCGGAATCCTATATAACGGGGTTCCGGTATTTTCTTTTGTAAGAAGAAGAAGAAAAGAAAGCTTAGAAATAAACACTATTGTAATAAGAAAAAGATATAGTTTTTTTTTTACCTTTTATCACCGTGTCTTCTCTCCCTGAACCCTGCCATTCTTTTATGACCAAGCGGTGTCGATGTCTGCCTCGTCGGAATAGCTTATTGGAAGAACACGCGTTCCTTTTTTTCATTGCGTGTCGCACAGCCTTGAGCCCCATCAGCGTTCTGATGAGAAGAAGTTTCTAGTGAAACTTAACTTTTTCGTATCTGAGCTGAAGGCTTTTGGGCCTCTACTGTTCCTATTGTGGGCCAATGTTTTAATAGATATCATTATAATAATATAAAAAATGTAATGATTAAAATAATGACATCAATTATATTATTTTTAAAGGTTTATCGTAGTACAAAAAATAAATTTCTAATAAAAATGTGTTTTTAGTGTAATAAAAATTACAAATCATTTTTCAATAAATTTAGATGTGTCAATAACAATTTTTTAGTAGCAAACGTGGGTAATTAATTTTTCTAACTTGTTTAAAGTATTTGTATTGTAGTATTTATGAAATAACTTATTCAAGGACTAGTTGTGTTAGGTTGTCATTATTTCTAGAATTCCAATATTTGTAGGTTAGATAGTAATTCTTTTAAATTCATAGTATGTCGTTAGATAATTGCTTTCAAGTAAAATATTATTTTGATAAAGTGACGAGGTTTAGATTTGTAGAAGAACTTACCATAAATGAGTTAAAAAGTCTAATAATTTCTTTTGTATATCTTCATAACTTAGCATTCAATTCAATCGTTATGTTAAAAGGAAATTGGAACTTATAGGCCAACATTTGATACACATGGACATGTTAATATTTTAGTCGCACCATACCATATTAGATGTTGATCAATTACTTTAGGTTAACCAAAGTACGACTTCTTCAATGTTGTCATCAAGAAGATCCAAAGCAATATACACTTTTTCTTTCAAATGACTAAAGGTACGTTTGTATGGGATCGAAAACAATTTAGAAGATACACATTCCTTCCTCACTTTTGATTTCGCCATTTCCAAACACAAAAGAGAAGATAATAATAGGAATAATCCTTTGTGTGATGCTACATTGGTCTGTGTGAAGATGCATATTGGTATTATGATAGAATGAAGAGTTTTTCTATTTAGTGTAGACTATGTGTTATCACTCAATGATTTTTATTTAATAGATGGTTTTGAAATTACAGAAAAAACACTAAAAGGGGAGGGGAGGAGTGATGTGAATAATGTTTTCAAAATATTTTTACAAAGCAATGTGTAATATCTTATAAAGAGACTGTGTAAAATGTTTTAAGATGACTAAATGCTAGGTTTTACAATATCAGTAAATGGGAAATGTTTTGAATAGGAAAGTAATAAACCATAAATTTTTATATTGGTTTGCTCAATCTGAGCTAGTCTAGTTCTCCCTTAACAAGTCTTAAGCAGTTCCACTAACCTTTTCAAGGTTACACGAGTTTTGCCTCTGGAGGATCTCACCAAGTATTCTCATCACTCTTGGTTACAACGAGTATTAGTACCACTCCTAGTATCCAAGTCAACACGACTAGACCGAGTTTAGTCTCTCCAGGATCTAACCCTAGACAATTGTCTAGACGTTCAACTCAACCTTATTTGAGTTCTCTTCAGAACTTACAACAAATTCTTAAATAGATTTCTACAAGGTACAAACAAATAACTCTCAATGAGAGGATATATATTAAAATACAATGCATTATGTAACACTTGAAATGTTTCTCTCTTTAAAAAGATTTTTTCCTCAAAAGATATTGAGCGTTAGACGATGTAAGAACACTTTAAGTTTTTCTCTCTTTTAACGTTATTATTCTTCTTATGTTATCTTGCGCTTTTTCATCATCAACAACTTCTCTTCAAGTTTTCTTCTACATATAGCTTCTCTTGAAAGATGATTGTGCTGAGCTCTAATACCAATTGTTGGGTCTATGGAGAAGAAGGTTCATTTGAGCCCAACCACATAAGGGATTGACATAACTGTTAAACCGCCTTTTGTCGCGTTAAAATAGAACAAAACCTAATCCCCACTAATGTAGTATAGAGGTAACTAGGGTATCAATCCAAGGACTTGGTACTTATTAAATTTAAAATTGTAGAATTGGGTCCTAATTATTATTTACTAAAAACAAGGTGGGGAAAAATATAAAACTAACTAATAATACATGTATCTAACTAAAACTAGTGAATGAATGAAAATAAATGAAAAGACAATGCATGACACCTATCCTAAATGGTATACTAATGCAACTAACATAATTTGGATTAATGAATAACATAGCCTAAACTTAGAATTTCAGTTACACCATGTGGAGAACAATTACTACAAAAGAAACCAAGTTGGGTATTCCACTAAATGAATGAAACAAAACACAATAGAATTGAATGTTTTATAAGAAACTAATATTGAAACTAATAATGGAAAAAGTAGAGGAGATATGAAAACCTTATAGCAATCAAAGAAAACAAATTTGAAAACTAATCCTAATCACATATCAAACAAATCAGAAAAGAATTGAGATAAAAGAGGAAGTAAAGGTCAAACACAAATTGGTTATTGAATTAAACGTAATCCTTAAAGCAACCCATGTCCTCAAGAAGACATCTTGAAAAGTTAGGCCTTCTTTGGAGTCCTATAGTATCTAACCTAGACATTAATAATGTGCATGGTTTT